TGGATCTAGGTTCGTGAAGAGGGGAATCCGAAAAAAATGAGAAATGGGAGAAAGTACGGGGTGTCAGCTTTTTGCCCCAATTCCTCTCAAATAGAGAGGATTTGGGTTTCCATAAAAAACCCATGTTTTTACCACTTTATAGATTTCTAAATCTATAAAAAAAATTTGAACCAAACTTAATATTAGGATTCATATGGAATTCTTTATTTACGATTTTACCCCTGTCAGATCCAAATGCTATTCCTTTTCCATAAAACGAGTGAAACAAACAGCCCCTAAAATTACTTGATATTTTCTCATCTTTATTAGTGTCCATCATGTAAAATTCCTCTTCCATTAGTTCCATTGGTAATGTTAACTATACAGAAGGATGACTCAGCAATGAAATGAAGTGCTTTAAGAGTATATATATATATATATATAGGGTGAGGTTCTAATAAAAACCTCTTTAGCCTAAAAACTAAAAACCATCGTGGGTCATTGGATCTATCTCATCCAATGGTTGATATTAGAGCTTATACTGCAGTGAATCCAGATTCAGTGATGGCAATAAATGCCATTATTAAAGAGTACAATAAATTTGTCTGCCATTAAAGAGTGCAATAAATGCCATTATTCTTCAAAAAATAAACACCTCACATAACTGAATCTGGATTCACTACAATAAATATCATTATTCTTCAAAAAACAAACACCTCATATAACTGAATCTAGATTCACTGCAGTGAATCCAGATTTACTGGAGTGAATCGAGATTCACTGTAGTGAATCTCGATTCACTGTAGTGAATCCAGATTCAGTTATGTGAGGTGAAACTGGATTCGCTGGATTGAATCTGGATTCAATCCAGTGAATCTGGATTCATTGGTTGTTTGTTGCCCCTATTTATTGCACTCGGTATAATAATGGCATTTATTGCACTCTTTAATGGCATTTAGTGCAATAAATAGGTTTTTAGTTTTTAGGCTAAGGAGGTTTTTATTAGAACCTCACCCTATATATATATATATATAATATATATATATAATATTAGTATATATATATATATATATATATACATATATATATATATTAATATATATAATAGAAGTTGTGGCTTGGTAGTGAGGTGACATAATCCTCTCCACTCATTCAAATGGTTGCATATCCCGCATAGGACACTTCAAACCCATGTGAATGTGGTCCCCCATTTGAATGAGTGGAGGAGATTGTGCCACCTCACTATAATAAGCCAAAATTTGTGCTTGGATGCCAAACATACTCATATTTCTCATATATATATATATACATATATATATATATTATATATATATATATATATAGATAGAGAGAGAGAGAGAGAGATAAACTTATGTCAACTTAAGTGCATCTCCACTAAGTTTCTAAGTCAGTGATGATCACTTGATTAGGTTACATTGTGGATGTATCCCGCTCCGTTGAACTTGATCTACATATTCTAAAACCCCAACACACCAAATTTGGGGTGAACCCGTCGTGGTTTGATCCTCCGTCGAGCCATGTAAATTCTATTCTATCGAAACCGTTAAAAATTGATACGAGTGGATGAAGGGTCAAACCACGATGGGTTCACCCCAAATTTTGGTGTTTTGAGTTTAAAAAATATGTAAATCAGTTCAACGAACGGATCATCCACAATTAGCTCATCAAGTGATCATCATTGACTAAGAAACTTAGTGAACATCAAATTAAGTTGACATAAGTTTCTCTCCTCTCTCTCTCTCTCTTCTCTCTATATATAATATATATATATATATAATATAATATATATATATATAATATATATATATATATAATAAATATATGAAGAAACGGGAGGTAGAGCGCTGGCAGCGAAGAAATTTCCTACGCTGCAAGTGTATGACATGTGAGCCCCCTATTAGTACACATCGGTGTAGGGCTCACATGTCATACACTTGCAGCGTAGGAAATTTTATACGTTGCCAGCTCACCTCCGTTTTCTCATATATATATATATATATATATATATATATATATATATATATATATATATATATATATATATAATATATATATAGTAAAACTCCTAATCCACTTAATGTGAATAGGAGGTCTTGTCCACCAAACTTTTTATCCACTCATTCTTGTCTCAAGATTTGTGCATCAAAAGATGCACAAATCTTAAAAAGATTTTTTATATCTATCACGAATCTCAATGAATATTCAACGGTTAAAAAAGTTGGTGGATGACTTATCTCTATCCACTTAGGAGGTGACATAAGCTTTTTACCTATATATATAATATATATATAATATAATATAATATAATATATATAATATATATATATATATATATATATATATATAATATATATATATATAGAGAATATGGGTATGCTTGGTACCAAGCATAAATTTTGTGTTTGGTATGAAGGTGACACAATCCCTCCACTCATTCATAGAGGGACCATATTCACAATGGGTTAAGGAGTACATGTGGATATGGCAACCATTATAATGAGTGAGGGGATTATTCCACTCACTACCATGCATAATTTTTGTGCTTGGTATCAGCAATACCCCATCTCTCTCCTCTCTGCTCTATAACATATATATATATAATATAATATAATAATATATATATATATATTATATATAAATATAATATATATATTTTATATAAATATCAAAAAGTGGACACAAGGCTTTTATACTAAAGGTTTTGGATTAGTAGATCAAAAACAGAATACATGGAATGTATTTTTAGTAAAACTAGAAAGAGAAAAGAATCTACAGTACATATTGATGGTCAAGAAATATCTAAAAGTAATCAATTTCGTTATTTAGGATCAATCATTCAACATGATTGTGAGATTGAGGATATGTTGTCAAACGAATCATATCGTGGTGGTTAAATTGGAGGAGTGCTTTTGACAGTCTAGTGTAAATGTAGAATACCTGTTAAACTTAAAGGAAAAATTCTATACGACAATTATAAAACCAACAATATTTTATGGATCAGAATATTGTACAATTAAAATAATATGTGCAAAAAACGAATATAGCAGAAATGAGAATGTTAAGGTGATCTTGTGGGTATACACTAATAGATATGATAAAAAATGAGTGCATCCGTATTAAATTAGAGATTGCTCCTATAGAGGATAAAATGAGAGAGAATTGATTAAGATTGTATGATCATGTACAACGTAGATCTCTTAGTGCGTCAGTTAAGAGAAGTGATAATATATTATAATTAATGGAGCAAAGAGATCCAGAGAAAGACTTGGAAGGACTTAGTTGGAATTAATTAGGAAGTACATGGTCATGGTTAGCTTAATAGAGGATATTGAACCATAATAGAACGGAATGAAAGAATATAATTCATATAGTTGACCCCAAACGCTTAGAATAGAGGCTTTGCTGCTGCTGTTGTTTACAGACGTATAGTAAAAGAGGATGAACGCATAACTTTTAACTGTCTTTGTGATATTAGGCAGAAGATGAAACAATAATATGAAGTGCTTTACCAGAAAATAAAGAAATTGAAAAAAAAAAGCATAACAAAAGAGATTAGAACCTTCTATTCCTTTTATAGGCCAATCATGCAACCCTCATAAAGGAATGAATCCCATCATTGACCCTTTTGAGCGGCACAAGTAATGAGTCCTAAGTATTATGAAAACAGGGACAGCCCAGCTCATTTCAACACCAACTGATTGTAAAGGTGTCGATCAGAAAAAAAGTTATATTCAAGCCAAATCTATCAACAGATTGATGCCGAACACGATACACTCTCCATTAAAGAAAGGATAGATTCCGTTGCAAGTTATTATAAGCCTAAACTGTCAAAATAATTGAAAGAAAAATAGAATAATTAAATGAGAGTGAAGAGTGGGCATGAGATAAGAGTAGACCTCACATGTCTTGGATTATACTTCACATGGTTTTGTACTTTGCAGGGGGTTTATTAAGAGAAATCAGCGCAACACACCAAATCTTGGTGATTGCTTTTTTTTTTTTAATGCAACTTGTTAGACTTTTATCACAAAACTCAGGGCATCTGTAAACATTTCATAGATGTTAATTAGTATAGAGACCAGCCAATAAAAAATTTAGTATAAAGACAAAGTCAACCCCTGGGCATCTATCAAAAGAACAGTATATTTCTCAAGAATAGCAGAAACATGATTAAAAAATGCTATATAGATCTCAAACATGCTAAAATTTCCATTGATTCTATAAAGATATAGAAATGACAAGAAAACATGAAGAATAAAAAATTTAAGCCATGCAGTGATTACCACAATCATATTTTCACCAGGACTATATTTTCCAAGAAAAAGAAAATATTTGAAAAAAAATTCAAAGAGATTAACCTGTTTTATTCAGTCAAGATGAGATTTCCTAATCCAGTTGCTGTCGAGCCAGAGACAGAACCACCTCTCCGATTCTTCCATAGGACTTCTGCCTTCACTTCTTGGAGTTTCACTTTCTTATCACTACCTTCTCAAAATTCTAAGTTATTCCTTGGCTATCTGATTGTTTATCAGAATATCAACGGCAATCTGTAGACATATGTGAGCATAATCAGCACCAACAGCCATTACCAGCAATTGTTCTCAACTGACAATAATAACTTATAAATGTACAGCTCAAGCCCTTAAATTTCTAGGTTTTTTGACTGTCATCTATCTATCATTTGTTACAGTGAACAGATAAATATTACAATGTGATACTTGTATAATCTAGTAGTAACAAAATATCAATGGCCTACTAGGGAAAATGGTCAGTTAAGTAAGACGATGAAGGCCTGTGCTCTTTCATGTAACCTCCAAAAGCTTTCCTATATGATAAACTTGATTTATTCATTCTTAGTGTCAAACTCTACGAATGTTCGTCCGCAGAAAAAATTAGTTATCTTTGAGAGATAACAGATGCCTTAGCATTAAATAAAGTGCTTTATTAACAGTAAAATAGGGAAGCTCGAAGAATTTAACAAAAGCAAGTGAATGCACTACTTATGCAATACAATGTAACTAATAAAGGCATTGGAACCTTCTATTGACTCATGTAATCTTCGAATAGGAATGAAACCCATTATTGACACTTTTGAGCAGGTACTCAATCATGGAAACATAGACATCCCAACGAATTTTCATGAGACAAATAGAAAAGTGATGGGTCCTCAATCATGGAAACATAGACATCCCAACTAATTTTCATAAAACCAATAGAAAAGTGGCTTTCAAGCAAAATCCATCAACAAATTTATACCAAGAACAGTACACTTTACTAAAGAGAGAAAATGATTCTGTTGCAAGTCTTTGAGGCCCAACTGTCAACGTATAAACAACAGCATATGAGTGAAGACATCACCTGCCTTTAGATAAACCTTCACATGGCTTGTACCTTAAAGGGGATTAAGATATCAGCTACACATACAAAATGATGATGGCCTGCTTTATTTTATTTGCGAGCAAGGTTATCGATAGCGGATATCGCGTAGTGGTGAGGCATCGCTAAGGCTATTTGGAGCTATTGCAGTAAAATAGAGGTAAAAAACGTAAAGTCAAATAACGGTCTAATTTAGATATGTATAAATATTAGGAAAATAAGAAAAAATATAGAAAAGTTTAGAAAATCTAAAAGTGCATTTGATGATTTAAGGAGATCCTAAACATGAAATAGACATGTAACCGTCACACAATATTGAATACAACTGGAGGAGTCAAAGAGTCGTCATCTTCGAGAATATGAGCTAAGCGGTGAGAGGATTGCAGTAGGAGGAACTCACGGTGAGAGGAAGTGCTAAGGGAGGTGCCAGAGGATATGGGAGGCAGCTGGAGTACACGTGGTGGGATGTAGTTATTGCGAGTCGGGTTTAATTTTTAAAAAATAAATCTCAAACCGCTTTTAAATAGCGATAAAAAAGCGGAACTTGTCGCAATCGCCCGCTATTCACTGCTATGGTGCGCTATTAGCCGTTTTTGCAAGTAAAAAACGCATATTACGCAATATATCACCACTATTGGGCGATAACGTAGCGGGAAGGGGCCGCTAACGCTATTAGCGCCTCTATTGCGGGGCTATTTACCGCTATTTATAACAGTGTTTGCGAGTTGTTAGTTAAGAAACATTAATTCTAGAATTTTTTTCCCACTAACTTGAAACATCAGTGCTCATGTCACAGTTGTTGTTAGGTAGCATAAAGACAGTCAATCCCTGAGGCATCCACCAAGACATCGTATTTCTCAAGCACAAAAGAGACATAATGTAGAAAAAAGGTATTTAATGTAGATCTCAAACACAGTAGTGTTTTTAATAAGAGTTGGTTGCGGATAGACCCTGGGAGTTATCTAGTTGTAGATAGAACCCCTGTGTGCGTGTTCTTTTTTTTTGGCTTTTCTATCCTCAGAAAAAGAAATTTGTTTATTGACAGATAGACCTCCAGAGGGTAAAAGAGTCCAAAAAGTTCACTCAGGGTGTTTATCTGCAACAATAGATTATTGCACTACAAAGGGCTAGGTCATGCAATGACATTGCCACAATTACCTTTTAACAAGGACTATTTTTTTTTTTTCATAGAAAAAGAACGTGAAAAGATTAAATGTCATTAACCTTTTTTCCTCAGTTGTGTTGCCGTTTCTGAACCCTCTTACTCACTAAGCCAGAAACAGAACCTCCTCTCTGTTTCTTCTTAGGTTTCCGGCCTCTTTTTTTCCCAGTATAGCAGGGTCTCAGAACTGGTACATAACCATTTTCTTCTTCAGGACCTGGTTCTCCTATCGAAGGTTTACCGGTAGGCTTTGCATCCTCAGAGCAGGACTTGGTTTCTTCCTTCACTTCTTGGAATTTCACTGTCCCATGTGTGACCTTCTCAAAATTCTCAATCTCTTCCTCAGCCTCCTGATAGATTATCAAAACATCATCAGCAATCCTATTCAAAATCGGGTCGGTTCAACTTGTAGCTGAGATTGTGCAGAAAGCGAGGATGGTGTTGTAACATTTCTTAATCGTTCTACTTGAAAAGAAATTTGACCCTTGTTCTGAAATTGAAAGAGGTTTTGATACTCACAAATGCTTTTCTCTTGATTCATGCTCTTGAATATTGATATGTTTTTATGGAGATTTGGTGAATAACTGAGTATTGGCTATGTTGTTTGTCTAGAATGTGCATATCTTTAATGGACTCAAGAGGTTAAGATTCTGATGAAATAGTCCTTACAGGCTTAATTGCAAATAATCCTTATATATGGTCATGAGGTGGCGGCTCATATAGCAAAATGAGCTACCAAGAGATATAAGTGTGAAGTCCACACCTTTTGATGTGACTTTCACGGTGGGCCTCATCACATGGCTATCTCTTGGTAGATGGTACCTCATACCCATTATTACACACACACACATAAAGCATAAACAACACCATCAACTGTTACTGGTAATTATTTGGCATGACAATTATAATGTATAAAATAACTGCACAAGACCTCAAATTTCTTGAGTGTTTTAAAAACCTTTATATACCCT